GGAAACTTTGTGAGTAATGGGCAAGGGAAAGGAGGTGAGATGACATCAGTCTCTGATCATGAGATGGTTTTCCACGGTCTTGCAGATCTCAGGATCCTTGGATTGAGGTATTCTCCACTGTCTGATCAATAGACAATGTTGAAAAGTACCTTCTATTACAGGTTTTATATCTCCATTTGCTCAATCTATTCTAAAAATACATGCATTCATGGGTTAACAATGCATAGGGCCATTTTAACAAGTGGGTGAATTTCCAATAACTTTTAGATTATGAGTGAAGATTCATAGATTTTCTAGGAATTTCTGAGTGACAGGCCTGAAAGAGAGACCCCTGGCCAGGGAAGTGAGGGTCTGAGGAACTGCACAAAGTCTTTATTTAAAATAAAGTTCTAGTCTCCTTTTCCTTCCTTTGTTCTCCTTTCTACCTATCTTTTCTGTTTTTTTTTTTTAAATCCTACCTATGGAGCAATGTATGGTTTGGATGTGAAATGTCCCCCAAATGCTCCTGTGTGAGACAATGCAAGAAGGTTTAGAGGAGAAATGTTTGGGTTATGAGAGTCTTAACCCAATCAGTGAATTATTATGGGATTAACTGAGTGGTAACAGAAGGCAAGTAGGATGTGGCTGTAGGAGGTGGGTTGTTGGGGGCATTCCTTTGGGGTATATATTTTGTATATGACAATTAGAATCTTTCTCAGCTTTCTGACCATCATGTGAGTTGCTTCCCTCCACCACACTCTTCCACCATAATGTTCTGCCTCACCTGGAGTCCCAAGGAATGAAGCTGGCTATCTATGGACTGAGACCTCAGAAACCTGAGCCCCCAAATAAACGTTCTTCCTCTAAAATTGTTCTTATCAGGTCTTTTAGTCACAGCAGTGAAAAAGCTAAATAAAACAAGCTTTAAGTGGAACCTATCATTACTTAAATCCTGGGGCAATGCAGGAAAATGATACTAATTTTTTTAAAAAGCAATTCATAAAATTGTTCTCAATTTTATTTTGAATTCATGCCTTGTTCTTGTTATAAACTCATCAATTCTTTCCTTTATTTTGGCTACTAAAGGTTATTTAAAAATGAGATTTAAACATACAAAATATTTTAAAATGAGCCAAATACTTTAAAGAGAGTTTCAAATTTACTACTTTTATGTGTCATGGATCATCTTGGTTTTAAAGTCAGTGTCAAAATTTAGATAGAACTCTAATTCTTCTTCCCACCTTAGTCTCACTAGCAAAATTATCTCTATATATGCTTTATGTCTGAAATGTAGATTTTTTTTCTAAGTCATTCTGTAAAACACTGTGGGGCACACAGAAGTCTGTGGCTACTAAGAAGGGTGATATATTTAATCCTAAAAACAATCACAACTTCACAAACAGGGCATGAGCTAATGGAAGGATTTGTGGAATTATGGGTTCATGTAAGGACACTCATTGTCTTCGGATTTCAGTTTCTTTGTTTATATAATGAATCCTACCTGTCATACATAGTTAATGTGCTTATTAACTGAGAAACAGGTAAAACCACTTTATTGATTGTAAAAAAAAATCACCAAATATTTTCTAGCAGAATAGCAACAACAACACTAGCCTTTTTAAAATAATTTTTTATAACTTCAATGCTTAAATCAGTGCTTGGCAGGTAGACTACCAGAAAAGATCTGTGAAACTAAATTGAATCAAGACCAATGGAATTTGTAAAAGAAACAAAGGAATAAATAAACACAGTGGAATTTGAAAAAGAAACAAGGGAATTGTGTTTGAAAGCCTCCCCATTATAAGAGAAGGCTCAGATTCCAGAATAAGAAAAACTAAAAATGAATCACTTCCCCAAATTCAATATCTCCCTTTAAGTTGTTAGGAGAAATAGAAAGGGAGGAACTCTACAAATAGTTTAGTATAAATAATTAGAAAAATGTAAAATAAGGGAACAGTTTTGAAAAACATGCCAATATTTATGCATAAAATATCTAACATGCTTCAGAAGGCAATCCAGTAAAAAGCCAATGGCACAATAGCACAGCATGCAGAGCTGGAGCTGGGGCTGGTGGTGTTTGGTTTGCCATAGTATTTTTCCAAGCTTAACTAGGAGCACAGCACTGACAAGTCCACTTCTGGTTGTTATCAACTATTTTTTGCACCTGGAGGAAAAATAAAAGATAACTACTGCAGAACACAATGGAAATGTTCCAGAGAATTTAATTCTACATCACATAAATCTCTGTAAAGGGAAAAATCTGGTATGCTGTGCTAACAGCAAAACAGTTTGCATACTAGGGTAAATTGGTGATTTGTAGGAGGAAATTTTTCCTGCAAGAACTTTTCAGTCTTGGGAAGGGGGGCAGGAAGCAAGCAAACAAAAAAAAATAATAATAATTACCATTTTAAGGTAATTTTCTAAGGGGGAGTTTTAAAAGAAAACAATTGGTTTCAATGCTTACTCTATTGCACACATATTCACACATATGTGTGCATTTATACCCTTCTAACTCAACAATTTTTTCCATTGCCTGTCATAAAATGATGTCCCTTTCTCCTCTGATTCCATCTTTCCCTAATACTGTTGCTTTCTGTCTAGCCCCATCTCTTCTTTTCTCCATTGCTGCTTGCCTGCAGTTCCAGAAAGAGAGGTAAAGGTAAGAAATATGTGTCTTAGAGTCAAAAGGGCCCTCACATGATCATTTGGTCATCATTCTTTATTATACTAACCAGAAAATTAAGTTCCAGAGTTTCATATCACCTTGTTTTAATTTTTTCCAGGAATCTATCATTGTCTGAAATGATGTCTTTTAATTATTAATTTATGTATGTATTAACTATCTTCAGAACACCAGAATATATACCTAGAGATTTAAGAAAACTACCTACCTAGATTATTAACGTATATTCCCAGCACTCAATATCTAGAATGCCATAAATATTCACATACATTTACTGAATAATGAACTAGAATTTTTGTCTCTTGTTTATAAAATAGATTTTTGAAAACTATACAAAATAATTATATGAAAAACAGTAATAGACTAATTAACAATAGGCTAATTAAGGAGTAATAGGCTGGGGCTGGGTCTATAGCTCAGTGGCGGCACATAAAAAATAAAGATATTGTGTCCATCTACAACTAAAAAAAAATTAAAAGAAGAAGAAGAAATAATAGGCTAAGTGGTACATGGTGGCACAAAACTATAATCCCAGTGACTAGGATCCTTCTGCCTCAGATCATAAGTTCAAGGCCAGCCACGGCAACTTAGCAAAACCGTGTCTCAAAATAAAAAAAATAAAAATGGCTGGGGATGTGACTCAGTGGTCAAACACCCCTGGGTTCAATCCATGGTACCAAAAGAAAAATTCCATTCATTTTCAAATTAATTACTGCTGGCTGTTCTACTGACATCCAAGCTAACTTTCATGGTGAAATGTGACAAAGTTGAGATGTGGCAAAAATACTGGATTAAAACTATTTTCCAAGCTTCTTTGCATAAGGGTGTGGCCTTGTAATGGTTCTGGCCCATGACACATTAGTGAAGGGTTTGGACAAAATTTTGCTTCTTTGGTATAGATTATCTCTCTTTCTGTTCTGTTCTCTCCTCTTGGAACAGACTGATGGGATGAATGATCCATCTCTTGGGATGATGAGTTTACAACTCTGAGAGTGTTAAAGAAAATGAGAATTGCCAGTTGCACCACTGTTTCAGTCCTAGATATTTTATTGCATGGCAGAAACAAACCTTGGAGTCATTGTTTACTGATTTTTGTATTATTTGCTGTGAATGCTTACCTGACACAATTTTGAACTTTCATGGTGTATATATCTATGGAAAATTTCTCTAGACCTCAATTTTTCCACCTTTAAAATACAGGATGTATAGCAGGACTCAGGGATGTTTTCCAGTGTAGGAAACTCTAGTGCTTCCAGATTGGTCTCATTTCTGAAAAACAAAGCAAGTTAATGTACTCTGTAAAATTTCTGTTTGTTTCAATATACTTCAGGTGGCCTTTGACAGCTGTCTGTCTTTATAAGTTAACACCTGAAAAGCCATTTGCTGAATATTCCCTACTATGCTGGTACTTTCAGAATTCTAATATGGCAATGTCATAGATTCCTGGGATTTGCTAGGCTTGTTCCCTCAAACTAGCCTCATTGTCAACCAAAGTCAGAAAAGCGGTGGGTCAAAGGATATGAAGTAGCATTAGAACAGTAAGAAATAAAAATCAGGATGAGTTTAATATCATTTTTATCTACTAAATTCAGATTTTTTTTTCTTGAAGTCTCCAAATTTCTATTTGCTCCTCTACCTACCTCTCTCTCATTCATCTTCCCATTATAGACCAAGTCACCATGGTCTGCATGGTTATATTTAACCATCTAGATGGTTATAAACCATCTAGATGGTTAAATATAATGGGAGAGGGGACAGCTCCAGTGTCCACACAATGAAGATGAAGGCAGGATCTACAGTTAAATAGAGCATAGACTCTTTACAAAACCAAGTCAGGCACTTTTGCCATCTGTAGATGATTTCATTAAATTTACACAAGTTTGCAAAGTAGGAACTTTACCCTCATTGCTCACTAAATTATGACGGTTGATTGCAAAGCTTATCACTTTAATTACTTAGAATGTCATTTAAAAGTAAAGACTACCCCCCAGCATTTTCCTTTAGGATAAAAGCTTTAGCTTTTTCTCTGATACTTCGTTCTTATGATATGATGAAAGTAATTTAATTTCTTTAACAGATTTCATATCTCAGCAACATATTTACTAATTAATGTGCCTGCTGAGGTTTTAAGGAATGTCCTTTTGGAGTTAATATATAAAGGCATTTTATCCCATATTCCCTTTATTCAGAGAAAGCAAATACTCAAAACTGCATATTGGCCTAAGCACTTCATGTAAGTAGACATGCTTCTTTTATTATGCATTCTGCTCTTAAACTGTTTGCTATTCATTGTTAATGAAAAACATATAAAGACTTTTTAAATTAATGCAATATGCATGGTTTATTTGTGAATTCATAAACCCACAATACAATTAAATGAATTCCGTAATACTTAACAATTTAGTTATTTGCTGTGATAACATACAAAACCAATGCTTCCATAAAGGTCATTTCATTGTATATTACATTTGTGGTTTGGAGATACTTCCTCTACTATAGTAATTATATTTTTAATGGTTTAAAATATATTCACACTTTAAACTTACCCCCATTCTAAACAATAATAGATACAAAATCATAGTTTTGAAGTTGTTGTCTCTGTACTTTTATACATATTTTAACAAAATGTATAATTACAAAAATTAAAATAATTTGTTCTTGGTTAACCTAAATCATCTTATTTTTCACAATGTAGAAATAAATGACATATGTATTAAAATTAAAAGTGAATAGTAAAAATTTGCTTAAGAACAGAAATTTGTGTGAGATTTTTGTTTTTAATAAAGACCCTTATTTTGGACAACTCTCAGAAGAAAAACGGGTTACAACTTTATTGTCCAATAGAATAAACTTTGGCCGAAATTCCTGCCCTGCCCTGCCCTACCACGTTCTTTGCCCCTTTCTCACATATAGGAGGATAAAAAATAATAATCCGTAACATATACGCCTGACATAACCTCTCTTACATTCAGTATAAACAATTAAAGAGAACCCAAAAGTAGGTGGCCAGGATGCTGAGAAAGTTTTGGAGGACGTGATGAGATTTATGGAATAAATGAGACCATTTAGACAATGACATCAGAGCATTTCTCAATATCTGAAAGGTGGATATGTATGAAAGGAGTTGACAGAATTCTGGTGTCTTCAGAGGTAAGAAGGTGGAGAAGGAAGAGATGAGGATGTAGGAGAAAGAGAGAGTTTAGCACAGAGAAGAATAACTAGGAGAAAGAGAGAGTTTAACACAGAGAAGAATAGCTCTAGTTATTCAAAAAGAGTAAGTGTAGTGATCTCCATAATGCTGAGGAGGATCCGGCATTAGGCAGGATTGGACAGATGTTCTCCCAGGTCTTTCTAACTCTGATAATAACAATAGACGCCAATTATTAAATGCTCACTAAGCTGGGCTAGGCATCTTATAATCTTCTCTCTTAAGTCTCCTAAGGACACAGTAGGATAGGCATGACTGTACCTATTTTATAAATGAGGAAACTCAGTCAAAAATCTGATGAAAGAAGAATTTTAATTCAAGTCAAATTGACTCAAAGCCTACCTACTAACCATTTTATATTATAAATGCAGTCTGGGAAATACAAAACTTTCATTTTGTTTTCATCAGAAAATTCCTTCACCCATCAGCCAAACTGAAGCCACACGTTGTCTTCTTGAAAAAAAAAAGTTATTGTAAATTATAATTGTGTGGAAAGGAAACTAAAAATCCATTATGTGAGCTGTTTCCTCCCATTTCTGAGAAAATCAACATATTTCCCAAGGAAAACTTATGTTTTCAATTGTGATCCTTTTATGCTTTGAGAGTGGGGAACAGAATAGAAGAAACCAACATTTCCCAAGAAAAACTTATGTTCTTAATTTTTATTTCTTTATGTCCTGAGAATGGAGAACAGAATAGAAGGATCCAGAAGTCAAGCTGTTTATTTCTACAAATGGTGTTACAAAATCAGCAAAAGCTTTGGTTTCTTTTTATTTGCCTAAATTCTTTCGGAAAAAAAAAATTATTTATAAAAGTGTCTCTTCAAGGAAAGAAAGGGGTGTTTTTGTTTTGTTTTTGACTTCAGGGTGTCTCAAATACTTTCAAGAAGTGTCAGGATGTTTTCCAAATAATTCAAAATCACTTAAAACAAATATGAACCTTAATCAGGTTTTAAGCGAAGAGAAACTTGGGAAATCAGTCATAGCAGATGGCTTAGGAACCTCCAAAATGTTTTGGGAATAACTGGCTTTAAAAAAAAAGTGTGGGAGTGGGAGGGAGTGGAGAGAGAGAGAGAGAGAGAGAGAGAGAGAGAGAGAGAGAGAGAAATAGAAGAGTGAGGGAAGAAGGGAAAGAGCAAGGGAGAAAGGGAGGAAAGAAAGAGTATTCACTCATAGTCATGCTATTACTTATCAGTGAGTTTTGCATATATTTTTAAGGAAAATGCCACTTTTGCTGTATTCTGTTATAGTTTCTCACAAGTCTCTTCTTAATTATTATATTGCAAAGTTCCTATTCAAACTTAAAAACAAACATTTTACTTCTTGGTAGCAAGATTTTACATTTTTCTTCCTATCTTAATTTCCTCTTTATTGATTTTTGAGATTTCTTATCTTATCGTCCTTTCATGAAACATTGGAACTTCACTAATATCATCCCTATAGGAACCAGACTGACATTCCTCTATTCCCCTAAATTGTACATTCCAATAATTATGAATAATTGAAATTGTTCAAAAATCCAGAAATTTGAGTTACAAAAAGTTGTATTCATTAAGTACACATTTGTCTCATAAAACCTTACTTTATACAGATGCCAGTTCTACACAAGAGGGATTATCTTTTCTTTATTTTCCTAACTCCCAGCAGAGTACTTTCCTAGGGATAAGTTCATAAACAAACAATTGTTGAACTAATGAGTAAATGAGTGGATCTATGGAAGAATTAATAGAATTTTATATTTTATGATACAGAAGATTTATAAAATGCTAATGATTTATTTAAATGCAATGGGAATTGGTGGTTGAAATTTCAAGTAATAGTCAAAAAGGGGATAAAGGAGATTTGACATTTTATTATAGATTTAGCATTTTTCTCTTTTAGTACCCAGATGAAATGCTGGGAAATACATATCACACAGTTTAGAAAACAAAAAGAATTCTATGGTTCTTTAAGTAATGTGCTTTTGGAAAAGGAAATATTTAGTATCTGATATAGTATTTTGAATCAAGAAATCTGATATTTCTTAGTCTTTTTAAAGTAAACTGAGTTTTCTATTCTATTTACAGAAACATGATAAATGCAGATCTTAAAGATTCCATTAGACATTCTTCTTTAAATTAATCCCCAAGACACTCATGTCTAAGTGTATTTAATATTTTTTACTCTTAAAGTGATGCTATTTACATTTCACTTTAGAATGCAAATCATATCAGTAGGGTTGAGGGATCAAGCTCTGGCAGTTTTAAAGTTAGAACAGTCACATGTTCACAAGTTCCTATGTAATTCAAAAGAAAAATCACTGTAAAATAAATGCTTATTTAATTGTGACATGGATCAACTTGTACTTGGTTCTAGAGTTCAGTTGTGGGGGCTTCCAGGTGGTGCATTTGATCATAAGATTTGCAGTGCAGAGCTGGAGGATGCTTCCGGAAGTCAAGCAGTGGGGTTCCATGGGATATCCAGAAAAGTTCCTAGTTTGGTTATTCCCAGGAAGCCTTCTTGCTGCAGACTGGTATTAATGGTCCCACTGCTCCTCTCTCTCGTTTACGCCCTCTTCTTCTTCAGGGAAGGCTGATTCATTCTGTCCTTTCAGATGCTTAACCCCTGAAATTATAAAAATGGTGAAAAATGCAAGTGAAATTGATTTCTGGCAGATTCATGGCTTTGCTACAAGAGATGAAGAAAGTGAGTGGAAAGTTTTCATTGGGGCATATGTGTTTTTGTCCAAGAATCTCAACAATGTGCTTCTATATAAACCTTTTAATTCACTGAGCAATAAAAACACTCACAGCCAAATTTCCATTAGAGACAGACTATCTTTTATAATTAAATCTTTTCTGTTAGGGATTACATCACAGCCTATTAAAACCCTGTTAACTAAAAATCTGCTCACAGGCTCTTATTATAATTCTGATGTATCATTTAGTTCAAATATTGCTTTTGGCATCCCTGAACTCCATTACAAGGAGAACTATTGAAACTCTTGAAGAACAAAAGGGTGTGTGTGTGCCATTTCTGTAACTTGTAAACAACAAAACAATCACAATATTGTTAGTTTTCTTTTGGAACCTGAACATATCCATTTGATTATAGAACACCTGTATTCAAAACTCTTCAATAACTGAACATACAGAGTGGAAAAAAAAACATGGGCCTGCCATACAAGGCTCAGATGATCTGGCCTCTCCCTACATTTTGGGCCTCATTTTTCACCAGCTCTTCTTCTCACATTTATGATCATTTGTGCCCTAACAATGATAACCTACTCTTCCTCATTCCCGACCACTCCAGGCTCCCTCAGGCATCCCTGCTTTGCTTATCCTGTTCTCACTGCCAAACATCTTCTTCCTCCTCAAATACCTATTCATCTGTCACTCATCCTTCCAGTACCAGGGTGCCTCCTCTGAAGGCTACCCAAATTCCCCAGGCAGATTTGGTAGCTCTTTTTCATATTCCCCCACTGATCCTGGATTCCTCCTGTTGCACCAGTTACCTTATAAAAACTCTGTCAGTTCACATCTTTCTAATTAGAGCAAACTCTTTGATGTCAAGGCACCTGGAGTTTCACTTGGGAGTCCCAGGCACAGTGCCTACCATACAGTAGGTGCTCATTAATGTTTACTGCTTGAATGAGTGAATGAAGGAAGGAACAATTAGTACACATCTTTGTGAGGTCCACAATAATGATCTTTAGATAGTTTTCAAAATTAATTCAAACTTGTGAGTATAAATCAGAAGACCGCTACACTCAATCTAAAAAATTGCTCTTTCATTTTCCTTGGTCTATTTCTGTTAACACATCACACTCTCTACACATATAGTGATGTTTAATGTGGAAACTTTTGTACTTTTTTTTAATACTTTAGAAAATTGGTTTAGAAGTTTTTTTTTTCCTAAGTATTACTAAAATACACTCCAATTAGAGCTGATAAATGAAAGGAAGTTACTATTCATGCTTCCTATGAAACAACAGCTCAAGAAATGTGTGGATTTGCATGTACTGTAGACAGCATGCCTCAGAGTACTATTTGGCAAAGAATGATGTACTTGGACTTCATGGATTATCTTGCAAAAATATTTGATCAGTTGTAATAATATTTAAATACTTTAATTTCATCCACAAATACAGATCACTCAAAATTCCTCTTGACCTAAGACTGTGCAGATAAATTTGTTATTAAGAATTGAAAGTTATTTCATAGTACTATAAGTTTCATGGAAAAGAGGTATAAAAACTAAGGAAAAGAAAAGGGAGCATCTGACCAGTCACTCTGGTAACTGGTTTTCCATGTACGAATCCCTACATCTCACAACAACTTAAGGAAGATATGATCGGTTCAAGGTCACAAGGGTAGTATGGTGCTAAGAGGAGCTTTGACATTGCAGTCCCTCCATGTTTACTGGATGAGTGGATGAATGAATGAGTCATGAACTTCCAATATCAGGATACCTCCACTAATTTTTATCATTAGCTTTTGGGATGCTAATCCGTCATTCACTCACATTCACTCAGAGTTATTATGGGTTTAGAGCATTAATACTGACCCTGATGCAGAGGATCTTAAGACTCCTTCTGAAATATTAATCACTCAGCCACCTGACACTGTTTTTCCTGGGCTGAGGCTGACTGTGCTTCCCCACATTTGCAAAGGTTCTACAGACTCCAGAGCTCATCTCTTTGAACTGCAAGATAACTACAGAGTAATAAAGTTGTATTTGAGACACATTTCTTTAAATGAGAGTTAATGGCCTAGTGCCAACATTGATTTGTCCAAAGGAGGAGAGCAAATGCAAAAAAAAAAAAATCCACAAATAAAATGTCCAACTAATTTAACAAACATTAACCAACTAACCTACCAGTTTACACTTGAGTATAGGTCTACTTGCTTATCCTGATCTACATCATTGATTTTATAATTACAATGGTCACAAAGTCATATGAAAAAGTCATACATTTTTTTAAAGCAAAATGAGTCACTTGGACATATTTTAGAAGTTTCCTTCCTTAGCCTTATTCAAATGTGAAATGAATTACTTCCAGGTGAAAGTTTTGATGAGGCCCAAGCTGGTGACAAGTATCACAGAGATGTTATTCAGAACACCAGAAATTCTTTGTTTTCCAAAGTAGTTACCATAATGCCATCTTTCAATTGGATAATAGAAAGTTGGTTAATTTGTGTTTTGAAATAGCCTTTAGACCAATGATTTTCTTTTCCTATCATCAATATTTATTTGGTTATAAAGGAAAGATGCTAAAAGGAAAATGTGAAGTCTGCTGAGGACTAACTAATAATTTTTCTCCTCACCCTCCCCCCCCATCCCCAAACACATTTACTTTGCACTTCAATTTTCTTTAAAATCCCATTTGATGTTTAAGTAATTCTGGAGAGGGAGGATAATAAATTGGTCTGGGGGTGTTGACAAAATTCTTGGAGAGTCCTCCTTTGTCAAATGCCAACAAGCATGAGGAGAACCCTTCAGCGCACAGGGGCTGTGGCTTGGCATATCACCAAGATCCTCCCAGGGCAAGCGCAGACTCAGCCAGGACTGCACACAGGCAGGAGGCAAAAGAAATCCATTCCGAAAACACAATGGAAATTCTTTTCTCCATCCCAAATGAGCGCACAGGTAAACGGCCCGAATGTAAGACAGAAAATATTGTATGAATATGCAAAGAAATGAGGAAAATAAAAGTGAAGGAAAAGAAAGTAGACCAAGAAAGAAGAAAAGGAAAAGAAATAAATGCCCCCAAGTGGGACCTAATTCGTATTATGTTCTTCTCTAGTTTGTAAATCAGGGGGTTAAATGTAGATTAGATGAAGTGGTGAAGCAGCAGTGTGAAGAATTCTGAATAATCTGTAGACAGAAACAAATACTTAACAACCCACAGGTCAATTTTTTCTTATACCAATAAATCTGGAGCCCAAGATGACAGGTTTATTACATTTGTAGATGATAAAAAAAATTGGAAAAAAAAAAAGATGACATGATGAATGAAAAATCTAGAATTTCTAATGGCTTCCAAGAGTAGGACAATGGCCTAAGTGATGAAAGTAGAGACCAATAGGGATTTTTGTTTTTAGAAAGGTGCTTTGGGATTGATCATAAGTAGGGGTTTTAGGTGACCAAGTTTCAACATGACCATATAGAAGCTTCCTGTTTCTAGGATCAGGCTTTAGGTGTCATTGGTGGCATTTCTAAAGCCAGAGTCAGCAGTTTGAGAAAGGGATTTGCTCTCTAGCCCTATGTCAGCCACACCTTTTCCCCAACATGCTGCCTTCTCATTCTGGGCTCTGCCTTTCAAGAGGACCATTGCAGATAGTCAAAGGGATTAAAAGTAGTTTTATGAAATCACTCTTCTAAAGGAATTGTAGATGAAACTAGAATGTTTAGTAGAGAAAATAAAGAGTACACAAATGGTTTTTGAATTCCTAAACTATTGGAAAAAAATTAATTTAGGTAACACCTGAGAGGATTAGAAACTATATTGATGGATGCCATTTATGAAGTGGGAGATATAGCTCAATATAAAGACGATAGCTCCTAAATTCTGTTAGCTCATCAATAAACATGTGATTGAGCTCCTCTTCGTTGTCTGTGTTCAAGTCAGAGCTGAACTTCCATCTTTGGAAACTCACTGACCTGAGATGCTACTAATTTACAAAGGGAACATGTTGTACTATTGAAAATTTGCTCTGCTATTCATACTATAAGTTTCAGGGGGAAAAAAGTAATTATAAGTTCAAATGACATGATAGCCCAAATCCACATTTTAAAACTAATTCACATTGGGAGTAGTAGATATAAATGGATTTTTTTTAAAACTACATACTTTAAACCTTAGAAATAATTTTAAAGTCCTCTAGGGAATCTGTGAATGGATTTTGGAGAGACTCTGAAGCTCTCAGAATTCTGCTTTTACTTGTGTTTGTGCATTATCAGGGAAAAAGGTCCATAGTTTTCTGCAGAATCTTAGGGGTCTCTCATCTCCAAATATCCATGAATGTAAACAGTAGTTTAATCTCTTTTGTAGTGACAGAGGAATAGTTCAGATCGTGAAGTGATTAGCTTAAATTCACACAGTAATTATTGGCTGAGCTGGAACACAAATGTTGGACTTAATCTCCCATTGTCATTGATCTTTTCTAAAGTTACAACTTGGAGAAAATTATTTTGACTCAGGATCACCGGGCCCTTTTGACTATCAAAAAACTTTAGATAGTGGCTTTAAATAGTAACTTTTCAGTCTTCTTGTTGTTATTGTTTTCAACAGAATTGGGAATCAGAAAAATGTAGAATATTAACCCTGCCCAGGAACATTCCCTTAATAGAATCGAATTACAAATAGTGTTGAGGTCATTAGAAAAGAGGCTGCCATTCTCTCTGCTGAGCCCAGACCTGGAACTGGGCTCTGAGAGACACAGGAAAAATAAAGTAGTCTGGTCTGTGGAGACAAGATGTAATAATCATCAAGCAAGATGAGTAAATAAAATAAAGGCCCGTGTGTATGCTGAGCATGAGAGAGACATGACTACAAATCAGATAGGGACGAGGATGGTGTGCATGTAAATGAGGTTAATTCAATGAAGAAGTGCTATGGACCA